CCAAAACTTTCCAAAATTATTTGTACAATGAAGGGAAAGAAAGAAAAGTGAAGAATAGCATAGGGACATGAGATGAGGCTCTAACCTCTTCATCTCTTCAAGCTTCTCCCACTTTTGTTCATTTAGATGCTCATCTGCAGTCAGGAGACCTAGATTCTAGGCCTGGCCTCACCACTTACAAGCATATGACCATGAGCAAGCCCTTCCCTTCCCCTCCCAAGGCCTCTGTTTCCACATCTGTAAAATAGAAATAATTATATCTTCCCTGCCTGCTCCCAGGGCTGTCGCAGGGATTTCAGCAGAGAATGGCAATAGAATGTGAAAGCACTTTCTGCATGTAGTAGTCTCCATATTCCTGCATCTTGGGGGCTGGGATGATGAGGGCTCTCAGGCAGCTCCCCTCCTAATGCCCAGATCCTTGGACCTGACCTTCAACAATCCCCACAGTCACCTGCTTTGTGCAGAAGCCCATAATGATCTCAAAGTGTCCTCACATTCCTGAGATGGCTGATAATTGCTCAGATTAATTCTACTTAGTATTTGCCAAACACCATGTTGAGTATTTTCTATTCTCTATCTTGAATCATTAAAGTAATTATGGATGGTAAGTATTATTTTTTTTACTAATCGAACACATTTTATACTTAAGGGTGTAAATCACACCCTTAAGTATAAAACTGATGTGTTGATATTAGTCTTATACCAAAGGAAATCAGATAATCAACACCAGTTCAGAAAACAGAGCACAAGAGTAGGTGAAGTATAAAGTTCAATGGGGGGAAGCATGCTCTTAATAACAAGATGGGAAGTCATCCTTTTACAGATGTTAGGGAAATGTAGGCATTATTGCCCCATCTTATTTTATTTATTATATTTTTTTGTATTGATTTCAGAGAGGGAGAGATAGAAACATCAATAATGAGAGAAAATCATTGATTGACTGCCTCCTGTGTGCCCCCTATTTGCTTCCCCTCCACCCCCCCACGCACATACACACACTGAAGATTGAGCCTACAACCTGGGAGTGTGCCCTTGGCTGAAATTGAACCCAGGACCCTTCAGTCTATAGGCTAATGCTCTATCCACTGAGCCAAACAGGTTAGGGCATTGCCCCCATTTTATAATTCAGCAAAATGAGGCTCAGAAAGGTGAGGTAACTTGATCAAACCCACATGAATGAATGATGTAAAACTAGGACTTGAGGCAAAAATCTCATTAGATCCGAAGTCCATTTTTCAACCACATTATACTGCTTGCTCCAGGATCCCTGTCTGCTCTTAGCCTCATCAAACCACATCCTTCCTCCCTATAGCCAAAAGGCTGATAAAAGTTTTGGGTCATGCATAAAAGCAAAAATAACACTCGGGGTATTATTACCCAGTCTCCCTTGAACTTAAGTGTTTGGAGGGGAAGTTAGGGTGGGGATAGAGGTTTGTGGGTGCGGTAAGAGATGAGACTCAGACAAGGAGAGAAGTATTGAACAGGTCAACAAGAACACTCCTAGGAAAAGTGTATTGCTACTGCAACATTCCAGGCACAGCTCCCTGTTAATTAACCCAATAGACATTACCAAGTGCCTAATATAAGCTGGTGCTGGGACTACCATGCTCAGATGTGGTTACTGCCCTTGATAGACTCTTGACAAGTTCAAGTTTATGGAATGTTTTCATCAGATATTTAAAAATGGAATAATAAAATAAAGGTAACAGGGATATTTTGCACACCTAGGCAGGGCCCAGATAAAGGGAGAGGGAAAATCTGAGCTGGGGCTATGCATACTTAATAAACTCATCCTGATGTTTATGTGAGTGTTGGGGAAAGCCTGGCAAAACCACAGAATTTAAGAAAGTGGTGGGGTAGGGTAGTCATCTTTGATTCACTCCATCTTCCAAGGAGGATATTGAGGACAAGATCCTTTATCCGTTTTCTCCCAATCCTGAATATGAATAGAAAAAAGCAGAGGTCTGGAGGACTCAGAGCACTAGCCTGAGCCATTTGGGGCTATCCTTGCTAAGGAATCGGAGACAATATTGTGTCTAGTCCTCAGTCCTGAAAACCCTTCCCAGCCGCTTTCCTCTTGTGAGCCTGGGACCCAGTGGAATATCAAGCAGGTAGCTTTACCAGCTATAGTGGATTGTGGCTATCTAGTCAGTAGCTGCAAAAGTGAGAAAATAACATAAATTTTTTTAAAAAAACAAAACAAAACATTTTTATTGATAGGGATAGAGTTATAGAAATATTAGTGATGAGAGAAAATCTTTGATTTCCTACTTCCTGCATGCCCCCAATTGGGGATGGAGCCCACAACCCTGGTATATACCTTCACTGGACTCAAACTGTGATCTCCTGGTTTATGAGCCACATCAGTAAGGCAGCCCAGATGTTTTAAAAAATAAAAATGAAGCGTAACATTATTACAGTTTAAAAATCTTTGTATCTACTATCTCATGTATTCAGATTTGATTCTCAGAAATGATCTATGACATAGACAGATGCTATTATTTCAATTTTAGATGGGAAGGCAGACGTGCAGATGAGTGAGTGTTGCCATTCTGGTGTGTGGCAGGAATTAGGAAAGCACAGAGAAGGAGCACTTCCCTAACTGCAATAGGGACATACCAGGGCAGGCTTTCAGGAGGTGACCCCAAGGGCTGAATAGAATAACACATTTATGCAATAAATAGATAATGAAGGGAAGAGTCAAGTAGGTGGCTTTCCAAAGGCTCAAAAACATGAGGAAGACCAGAGAAAGATGAAGATGGTGATGATGGTGATGGTGGTACCCGTGACCTCAGCTAACTCTTATCTATGCTTATTAACAGCAGAAACTGCTAGAACAGGTACTGTTCTAAGCAGGCACCTAGGTTAACATTCACACCTCCCTTATTAAGTAGATACTTTTATTATCCCCAGGAGTGGCTCGGTGCATGAAATTTGTACAGGGGGAAAAGGGGGGCGGGCGGAGGGGTAATCCCTCAGCCCGGCCTGCACCCTCTCCAATCTGGGACCTGTTGGGGAATGTCTGACTGCCAGTTTAGGCCCGGTCCCTGTGGACATCCCTCTTGCATCTAGGACTGCTGGCTCCTAACCACTCACTTGCCTGTCTGCCTGACTGCCCTCTAACCACTCTGCCTGCCAGCCTGCTTGCCCCCAACTGCCCTCCCCTCCTGGCCTGATTGCCCCTAACTGCCTCTGTCTTGGCCCCATCACCGAAAGGACATCTGAAAGGTCTCCTGGTCTGAGCATATTACCCTTTTATTAGTATAGATTTAAAAGATGAGGCAACTAAGGCACAGAGAAGCTGGGTAGCTTGTGCAAAGTTATATGTGATTTTGTGTGCTAACTCCAGCAGTATGAAGTTTAGGTGCCAAGAGCGCCTTCCGCCCTGTGTCTGCAGGCTGCAGGGACAGATTTGAGATTTAGAAAGCCTTCTCTGGGGGGTAGGGAAGAGGAAAGGGAACTGGAACACTTGATCAGGCTAAGAACCTGAACAGAGACAGTGCACACAAAGAGCAAAGTGTTCCCACAGCTCCTGATACTTGTTGGTAAGAAATTGCTCCCCTTCACCATGTATCTGCTTTCTCTATCAGCAAAGGGAGAATATTTCAGCCTACCCCCTCAGAAATTGCCTGAAAATTAATGGGGCAGAGGCCTGGGTGGCTTTCCTGTTTAAACGACACCCTTGTGCTACTGCCAGTGTTCTTTAAGTTCCAAACATATAAACAAACTGGCTTCGACAGAGGAGCTGGAAATAATTATAATCTGTTAATTATTGTTAATCATGCCAAAGCTTTGCAACCCTGAACTTTCCCAATGACTCAAAAGAGAGAGAGAGAGAGAGAGAGAGAGAGAGAGAGAGAGAGAGAGAGAGAGAGAGGTTGCAACCCCTCCATCCCTCTAAAGGAGTCACACAGTGGTGGACAAGCCATTTCTCACAGACCCCATTCTTTCATTATGTGCAGTGGTTCAGCTACTTAAATGGGACACAGAAAAAGAAAAGACATGCTTTGCTCTTTTAGAATCAAATTGTACAAAGAACTTGTCTTGCTGGTTCATTTAAAAATTTATTCCTTTTTGTCTCCCTATATCGAGTACATGCATAAATATTGTTTGTGTGTGGGGAGGGGAGAAGTGTTTAATAGAACTTCTTATACATTGGACATCAGAACACCTGGTTTATTTTTTTCTAGGATCCTTAACCTTTTTTCAGATCAGCTCCACTGGGTTTCCATAAACTTCTAAGGTCTCCTAACAGCCAGGCAGAGAAACAAGGACCCTCCTCCCAGGATATGACGGCTTTGTCTCCAAGCCTTAACTGCACCACCTATAAAATGGGTCTGACAGATGGTCCATACTTGTGGGGACTAAGGAAAGGATGAGACAATGTTTGGGAACTGTAAAGGATACATGGCTGCTATGTGAGAACTGAGGAATGAAGCCAGGTAGTGAAAAAAACTTAAGTAGGAGAGGAGCTGGGAAAGAGAGAGAGAACAGGTGGTGGTGGTGGTGGAATAAAGGCGGGACAGTCCTGCTTTTCAATGAAAACCCTGAGAATTCCAGCCCAGGAGAGCTGCCTGTCGCAGAGGTTCTAGGCTAGAAGCCGGGCCAGGGCGGGCCCGCCCTAGGTGAGGCGGATCCGGTCGGAGGCGGGTCCGGGCAGCCCGCAGGTGAGTATCGGTTTTCCTCCTTGGGGCTTTCGGTCCCGAGGAGGCGGGGGCAGCCTCGGCTCCCCTGATCCTATCGAGGGCAGCACTGGGAGGGCTGTAGCTTCCGTAGGACCCGGATGGGGCGAGGGGGAGGGGAGGTAGAGATGTGTCACCCAAATACCAGAGGGTGAGCTGGCGGAGGAACCGGCCGGGCTGGTCCGGTGGAGTATAAGAGAGGGAGGGAGCGGCCCGGGACAGACCGGTGCAGACCTCGGAGCCGGAGTCCCGCAGAGTCCAGCGCCGTCCGTCCATTCGCCCGCCCGCGTCCAGTCCGTCCGCGCACCTCGCGCCACCATGACTCGGGGCCCAGGCCTCGCGCTGCCTCTGCTGCTGCTCCTGGCGGCGGCGACCGGCCAGACTGCCGCCCAGGACAACTGTACGTGCCCCACCAATAAGATGACTGTGTGTAGCCGGGTTTCCCCGGGTGGCCGCTGCCAGTGCCGCGCGATCGGCTCGGGCTTCGAAGTGGACTGCTCCACGCTCACCTCCAAGTGCCTGCTGCTCAAGGCGCGCATGGGGGCCCCCAAGGCCGGCCGCAAGCTGGTGCGCCCCAGCGAGCACGCGCTGGTGGACAACGACGGCCTGTACGACCCGGACTGCGACCCCGAGGGCCGCTTCAAGGCGCGCCAGTGCAACCAGACGGCCGTGTGCTGGTGTGTGAACTCGGTGGGCGTGCGCCGCACCGACAAGGGTGACCAGAGCCTGCGCTGCGACGAGCTGGTGCGCACCCACCACATCCTCATCGACTTGCGCCACCGGCCGGCCGCGCGCGCCTTCAACCACTCGGACCTGGACGCCGAGCTGCGGCGGCTCTTCCGCGAGCGCTACCGGCTGCGCCCCCGGTTCCTGGAGGCCGTGCACTACGAGGAGCCCACCATCCAGATCGAGCTGCGGCAGGACGCGGCGCAGAAGGGCCCCGGCGACGTGGACATCGCGGACGCCGCCTACTACTTCGAGAGGGACGTCAAGGGCGAGTCCCTGTTCCAGGGGCGCAGCGGCCTGGACGTGAACGTGCGCGGTGAGCCCCTGCAGGTGGAGCGGACGCTCATCTACTACCTGGACGAGAAGCCACCCCAGTTCTCCATGAAACGCCTCACCGGCGGCCTCATCGCCGTCATCGTGGTGGTCGTATTGGCCCTGGTCGCCGGCGTGGTCGTCCTGGTCATCACCAACCGGAGGAGGTCCGGCAAGTACCGGAAGGTGGAGCTCAAGGAACTGGGGGAGATGAGAAACGCGCCCAGCTTGTAGGTATGGGCGGGGCGGGGGCGGGATAGGGTATGGGATTCTAAGCTGCAGGGTTCCCAGACCAAAGGGAGTCTTCATCCTTTTTGACTTTTGGCCCAAAGGAGACATTTCTCTCCCCAAATTCCTGTCTCTCTGCGCACTCCACCAACTCGATAGATCCTGGTATGGGAGTCGCTTCCCTTGGAGACTTCTGTCTTGAAGGAAGCATTTCTACAATCCCTTCCCTCTCCCTCCAACCAGACTCGAAGAGTGAAGAAAGGGCTGGCAGAGGGTGATGTGTGAGAATCCAGTGCCTGTGCGACAGCCCCCCAACTTGACAAGGGACGCCATCGGTATGGAAGGCTTACGTGCGTTGAGATGGGAAACAGCTTTCAGTAGTCTTGGGTTTAAGTTACTTGATTACCGCACGGCCTTCCTGACAAGGATATCGCTGATTGGGCCGGGGTAGCATCCGCATTTACCCCCGTTTGCTTGGCTGGCCACACGCACTTGTCCCTGGGAAAGAGGTCTGTTTCCGTGGCCTGAACACACTTCAGTCTGTCTAAGGGCGGACTCGGCCTGAAACTCCGCGTCTAGCCTTCAGCCCGTCTTTGTTACAAATGACATTAGTAATGTTTCTTTTGTAAAATGTTTGTACATATGTTGTCTTTGATAATGCTACTGTGATTGTTTTTTTTTAAACACGAATTTAATAAAACATGGGAAAGGCACAAAAGATGGAGTTGGTGAAAACTCGCTCTAGATTTATGTCAGTTTACTCTCCTCTGTCTAATGTCCCACGGCTCGGATTTCTCATTTTAAATCATAACTTTTTTTCCCCCCAGGAGTGGGCACTTTCTATTTCCATTCTGGTGAACAGCAGAGATAAACCAGTAAGCTGGTGCCATGACTGAGTTTTCTAAGTGAGGGTATTTAGAAACCTCCCTCACACAGCTGGAAGGTGGGGCTGGGGAGGAGGCTAGAACTAGGTGCAGTGGGTGGGAAAGGGGACCACCCATAGCTTGTTTCTAATCAGGAATTCTTAAGTGGAGATTCAGGAGCTGAATCTCTTTTGAACCCTCGCTCTATTTGGAAGCAGGTGGTACTATTCCCATTTAGCCCTTGGCAATTTACTGAATCCTAGAGTATTGTGGCTCTGAGAGAGGTTGAGTGATCTTCCTACACACCCTTATGGTGAGTCTGTAGAGAGCCCTATGCTGGGACTCTGTGTGTGTGCGCACGCTAAGGTTGTTTTCTAATATTTTACTAGTAATGTGCTTTAAAAATGTTTCCTTCCTATTAGCTGTAAAAACTGGCAACTTGTCTCCTTTATACTTATCCCTTGTTTTAAGTCATTCACTTTCTTTTATGGGAACTGAGTGTGCTGGAATGTCCCTGTGGGGTAGCCCACAGGCAAACAGGTTCCTGCAATTCCTCAGAAATTATTGAAACAATATAACAAAGGAGGGAGTGGTTGGTATATCCGAAAGCAAATAGCTAGGGCCAGGACTTCAGTGTCTTACCCTGGAAACAGTCTAATGTTTCTACCTCTCTTGCCTCCCCCCTCTCCGCCCCTGTGTCTATGGTCCATGCCTACCTCTCAAGATGGAAACACTAGTTAAAAACTGGGGGGAGGTGGCTCTCAGCCACTGCCTTCCAAGCTGAGGGCTGTGGCTTGTGTGGGCTGGAGGAGTGGATACTTGCTTGCCAGAGATCTCTAGGTCTTAACTCCACAGGTTTTCTCAGATTCAAAAGGGGCTGAAGAGGGTGGAGGTGGACTGGCTTCTCCACAGTGAAGGGTGGCTGAATGCCCCGGGTTAGAATGGGAACGGGAACAGTGACTGAGAGGCTCCACTCTCCCTCACTTGGTGCTTTCTGTTTCTCTGAGTCACTGATGTGCCATAGCCAAAGCGACCTTGGCAATCACTTCTCACCAGACCCCTCTTTTCACAAAGGAAATGAGTGGATGCTGAACAAAGGGAAAAGCCCTGAAAAAAAAAAAAAAAAAAAAAAGCCCATTTCTTCATCAGAATGTCGCTTCTGGATAATTTCTGCATGAATTTGGGACACATCCTTATACTTTATTGCATTTTAATAGTTCACAAAGCACTTTCCCGGATATAATCTTGAGGCATTGACTTCCTGGAAATAGTGTTGACAAATGCTCCACTGGGTAAGTCACTTAACTCTCCTCAGTTTTCTCCTTTGTTGAATGAAACTAGAATCTCACTATTGCAAAGGTAAAATGAGGTCATTGATAAGATTGCTGAGGATAATCTGGGCACTTAGAGTTCAGTAGATCTTAAACGTTTCTTCCTATAAATTATGTTCATTTCATATGTGGGAACACCGAGGTCCATGGAGGTAGAGTAATTCATGATCACATGCCCTCCGTGTGCAAGGCCAGGGCTTAGAAACTGTGTTTGGTGTCCAAGCCCAGATGGCTAGATCACATACCAAACAGATGGAGACATCTTTCTTACCCCCTTCTTCCAAGGAAAAGCCCCTCCTACTTCTGCAGGAATTCAGCTTGCTTCTGTTGGGGGCAGGACTCTCCAGAACTAGCTACCTCCAAGGGCAGAGCCCCCACCTCCAGGGTTTCCCCTCAAAACTTCCACTGAGGGCTTTTTGCTCAGGGCTGGGCTGCCCTCAGAAGGAATGTGAGGAGCAGGTTCCAGCTTGTCTTTCAATCCCCGAGGCTCATCTGATTTCCTTGTTTTGGTCATGTGGACTTTCTCCATTCCAGTTATTTCCTTAATTGGGCCAATTTTAAAAATCACGATTAAGCCACCATTTCTTTCTGCTTACATATTTTTGGCTTCACTATTTTCCAAATAGAATCACAGAATGTCAAAGCTGGGCAGAGAATCATTTTCATCCACACTTCCACCCTACAGATGAAGAAATTGAGGCCCAGAGAGGAGAATGGATTTATCCAAGTCAGGCAGCTAGAAGCAGAGTGACCCTGGAGCTCCCATAGCCTGACTTCCATCTCATTGGTGAGAGAGAAATATCGATCACTAGGGATGTTCCCACAAGCAAGGAACATGCCCCTGACCGAAATCGAACCTGGGTCCCTTCAGTCTGCAGACCAATGCTCTATCCACTGAGTGAAACTGGTCAGGGCCCATTCCACTTTCTTAAGAAGACATCTCTTTCTGGAGACTTTTATTAGGGGAATAGAACAATCTTGGAAGCCACCATTTACAAAGGAAGAGCCATGGCCCACCTGGCCAATGCCAAGTGAGACACTCACCTTTAACTGTAATGTGAGAAAGAAAGAAATGTCTTTGTTTTCAAATTACATTAATATTGCATCTCTATAAGAGTCTTATTTTAGCATACACTCTAACCAGTATGGGTGGCTTATATTATCATTCCTGTAGTGAATGAAAACATACTTGCCTGTAGTCACACATCTAATAAGTAAGTATCACATTTGGGATTAGAACCCAAGCAAACTGGCCCTCAACTCCAGATGCTATACTGCCTCTTAGAATTGATAAATTTACAAGTCAGAGTATATTAGTTTTAATAATTTAATATACTAATAGCATGATTATCTTAAATTTCTCTAGGTCAGAAGTCTTACAATAAGCTTCCCTAGGCTGAAATCCAGGGCATTATTATCTCTACCACAAAATGCCCCCTAATCCATGCTCTTCACCAGTTTACTATCCTGCCTTGGTAGAACTGTATGCCAGCATGCATTTTTGTATTTAGTTACAAGAGAGCTCTTTCCCCCATGGCCCTCTCCTCTATCCCTTTTGAACAAAGCCTCCCAAGGAGGAAATAGGCTCTTGGGAAGATTATTCCTATATCGCACACAGGGTAAACAGGGTGTCTGGTAGCTAATAAGCTCTCAGGAAAGTGTGTTGAACTGAACCGATACCAATGGCAACCACTTATTAAGCCAGCAGTTTTCAACCAGTGTGTTGCAAGAATTTTTAAAGCATGTAATATCTGAGTGTTTAGGGATACTGACCTCTTTGCTCTTACATTGTCAAATAAAATAAAATGATAATGGCCAACACAACACTAGCTGGTGTGAGTGAATCAAAGTTATACCAATTTTTTTTTATCAGATCTGCAAAAATTATAACATCATTTGAAGTGCTGCAGAATTTTAGTAATTAGTTTATGTGCTCCATGAGATGAAAAAGTTGAAAATCGCTAAATTAAGCCCTTAAGATGTGCCAAACACTGCCCTACAAACTTTATCCTGATGACCTCAGTCATTTTGCAACAATGCCATGAACATGAAGAAGCATGTTCTGCGATTCCTGTTTTACTTGTGAGGAAACCAGGCCGTAAATAAGTGACTTGCCAGAAATCACACAGCTGGGCAGGAGCACAGCTAGAATTCACACCCAGAACTATCCTCAGAGCCTGAGTTTCTATTGCTCAGCTCTGCGACATGGCAGGGCAAATACCTGTGTTCCATGCCAAACAGTGATGCTGTCAGTGGGGAGGCTTATTCTCGGGGACCCAGATGGAATCCCTCAACGGACCACTTGGAAAGTTGATGGATTTCTTCTACAACAAAGAGTGAATCCTGGTAGTCTTCTTCTGCTTGTAATTTTCTTCCTGGAACTCTTCTCTGTCATTGCTCAGTCACATCAGAATTTCATTACTGTTTTTTATGACAAATCTAGGAAGGAATTGTTGGGAGGGTGGGGTGAATAGAAAAGTGCACTGAAAATGGGAGAGCTGTGTCTGCTAGCACTTCAGCAAGTCATATATACTCAATTTCAGTAAAATTCTGGCTCCATGCTGTAGAAGGAGGACAAACCAAGAGGGGAGAGACGGGAAACAAAAGGATCCAGAGTGACATTCTAATACAGTGGTCGGCAAACCGTGGCTTGCGAGCTATGTGTGGCTCTTTGGCCCCTGGAGTGTGGCTCTTCCACAAAATACCAAGGCCTAGGTGAGTCTGTTTTGAAGAAGTGGCATTAGAAGAAGTTTAAAAAATTTGGTTCTCAAAAGAAATTTCAATCGTTTTACTGTTGATATTTGGCTCTGTT